GCGAAGGGAAGGTTGAGCTCTCACTCCCTACTTCTCTTCTGTAGGTCGAGGTGCGGCCCATGATGTTTGTGGCATTGACGTACGATCACCGGCTGATTGATGGCAGAGAGGCAGTGACTTTCCTGCGCAAGATCAAGGCAGCAGTGGAGGATCCCCGTATACTGCTGCTCGATCTCTAGAGCAGCTGCACCCCCGTACAACCCAAGCAGGGCAGGGACACAGCACCAGCACGGGCAATAACAGGCATTCAGGGATTGGCAGGGGCTCTCCAGTCTCCCTCCCTCACCTGTGGCTGGAGGCATCTTAGAGGGAGCCGTGAGTGTAGCTCCTACCTCCTTGTCTACCTGCTAGGGCTGGCACAGAGAGCAAACTACCAAATATCGTGAGCTTCCCAGTACCACTTCTGTAGTCTCCCCCTCCCCCCCCAGCACTCATGCAATCACTTCCAGCCTGACCCAGCAGATGGGAACAGAACCTGCTGGTGATGGCAGTGCTAGGCTGCCCTTTCTTCACTGTCCCTCTGCTGGTTCAGCTTTACTTCTCAGTGCTGAAATGACTGGGAGTGAAGGAAAAGAGGCTGCTGCTTTACAATGTACAGGGACACAGCATCTCCCACTGGTCTGCCCTGCCAAGTCAGTGTGGGGTCCCCACACTGACTTAGGCAGGTTTGGATCGTATTCCTGTCCTGCTCTGGTGATTGGAGCCGTGCTGTGGTGCTTGCAGGGGGCCTTGCCACCTTGGTTAAAGGCACCTATTAGGACTTGGGCTCCTGTTCCCTCTCTGGTTCTGCTGTCCCCTCCCTCTGACTCTGAGGCTTCATTGTTTTCTAGCCTGGTCTCTCTGATGCAAGATGTCTGTCTAGCCTGGGCTTTTAATACCTACCAGGACTAGTGACCACCACCTGCAAAGGTAGTTCCATCCCTCAGTCCACTACCTACCAGTGGATCTGGTTATATAAACAGCCCTTGCAGCTGTCCTTGAATGATTACAGCCCAGTGTTGATGAATGAAACTGTTGACTCCCTGTGTACAAGGGCCTGGCTTGCCCTGTGCCATGAGACTGTTGGGGGCAGGGCCAAGTCCCCAAGTAAAAATGTGTATCCTAGCCCAAAGCTGCTGGTTTGATGGGGGTGGAGGGGAAGGGGGAGGACATACCTTTAGTCCAGTAGCACGCACATGTGAGTGAGGGGGTTGCTAGTGCCTGCAGGGTCTATTACTCTTACCCTCTACACAGAACTTGTAATTAAAGTATTTAACACAACTGATTAAGTGAAATAAGTGGGAAGTGATGAAAAGGTGGGGGAGTGTTTGGGGTTGGGGAGAGGGACAGGAGTTCAACACCGGGGTGGAGCTTCCATGGTACTGGAACAGCTCACGGCATGAGTGGAAGAGAGCTGTGCTCAGGGTGGGCCCTCCCCTGGACATTTGCTGCCATTGTGGGCTGAAACTTTTTTTTTCTCCTGCCTAAACTCTGCACTCGAGGGAACTGGTTCACTAAACCTCTTCCCTGCTGTTGGTGGAGAGCGTCTCTAGCTGTTAGGTTGAAGTTATGTCACTTCTTCTGTCTTCTCTGGCACTGAGTTGTTTTTTTTTTTTCAGGCTCTGAGTTCTGCTTGCTGCCTTCTTTGAAGTATTTTCCCTTATTTTTCCCTGATATCAGGTACTTCAAGTTTGTTTTGGTTTTTTGTTTTGTTGTTTGTTTTTCACCATGGCAGGGCCACAGCTTTACCTTCTCTGTATGGGAGTGAGGGATGGAGAAAGTTGGTTTCATTCTATCATGGTCATTAGTAGGGGGCTGAGACCACCCATCTGTTTAATCCTGGCCTTGCAGCAGTCTCGCATCCAAAAGACCCTAGGTAATTAGACATGAGTTGATGGAAATTGGCTGCAAATGCAGAGGTCTTTCGTCACAAAGCAGGGAAGGCCTATTCCTCCTCTCTGACACTGGAACTGCTGTAACTGGATAGCTGCTCATAGGCATTTCCTTGCTAGAATAGGGGAGGACAGAGCAAGGTCTCAAGAGATGGGGGAGCTGGAGTCATTGGCTATGGAGAAGCTTTGAAAAAGTAATTCCTGCAGCTTGGGGATACTGTTAGTTCTTCCTGCAGCTAGATGGAGATTTTGGTTGGGAGGAATGGAAGAATGCTAAGGATTGCCAAAGGAGGAAGAACCAGGGCTGGAAAAATAAAATGAAATCTAAAAGTGGAAGCAGCTGACCTTGGATAGTGCAACCTGCTGCTGGAGGTGGAGCAGTACCTCCTAAGGAAGGAAACCCCCATATCCAGAACATTAGAAAATCGTTCCTGGACTGGATGGGATTTAATGGAGTTTTTCCAGCTCTAACCTTTGATTTATTTACTTACCTGTTTCATAGGCGTGAGTGTGGAATAGCCTTTTATTACCAAAGAGTCCTGTCACTTCTAACTAAGTTAACATGTAGAAGGAATAAAGGAGTTTGAGACATGTGCCTGCAGGGCTTTGCTGCCAGAGCCTGCTCCTGGCTACAGTCAGGAAGTCTCCGGTTTATGTGAACACCTTTCCTCAAGTTGAGATCTTGCTTAGAGGTGAGAGAGTGAACATGAAACAGCACTCTGCTTCCTGATGCTGTAAATGTGCCTAGAATTGTAGCCTGACATGGCTTGTACATGTTAAAACTAAAAAGAGCACTCCTCTGTGTAGAGGGACCTTGGGAACAGACTGATCCTAGCTCTGTCTGCAGGTGGAGGCTCAACAAATGAGGCCTCCGAGCTAGGTGAGGTGTTGATGACCAGAATAAATCGTATACCTTTTCATTCCAGTCAGCTGCTTTCATCTGTTCCTGTTGTGGTTCTTGAGCTCAGCACTGTCTCCTAACCACAGGCAGATGGAATCTAATGTTAACTTGCAACATAGGCCCATTTTTGCACTTAATGGAGTTTTCCTTTGGCTTCTGTGTGAAGCCCCATGCACAGTGTTACACCACACTAATATGGAAGCCATAGCAGTCATGTTTTGATTTGGAAAGAAAGGACCTTGTATCTGACCCGTTGTGGATAAATAAATGCAAGGGCATGCTGGCAGCTGCAATTGCTTAGTGGATAAGGCTGGGTGGCAATACTTGGCTGGAGGATGAAGTCCCTTGGCTTACCTATACACATCTAACTTGTAGTATCACCTGTGTCTTATCCATGTTGTTTTCTACTTCCCTTTAATCCCCTGGGGCTGCCAGGCAAGTGAGAAGAATATCAACACTAGTTGTGGCTAATACAAATAGCAAAGTGCTGAGTGTTATTGGCACCTCAAGTCAACCACAAATGGAATACACCTTCCACATATGCTAGAAACTGGCCCATTAATTATCTGTTTCTCTAATTGGTCAACAGCCCCACAGCAGAAGAAAATGCTTTGAAAACAAGTCTAGTAACCTCCTGCTAGCTGTGTCTTCATGAAGTCCTACAAAGAGGCTTTGCTAGTTGCAGATGGAGACTGGAGAGTCAGTCCCACAAACCCTTTAGTGATTTTGGCCATACTCGGAGCAGGGGAGCTAGCTGCAGCAGTTTCTTTGGCACCTACAGGCCTTAACCTCCTGTGCCACCTCCCACCCATTTAGGAATTGTAGTCCTGGTTGGGAGAGGGAGGGCTGAGCAACACAAGCCCCAGTGCAGGGGAGAAAGGTGTGAGGGGATTAGCAGGAGCAGCCCAGGTGCCCATTAACTCTCAGCTACCACTTGAGCTTCTATTAGGTGATGCCCAAGAGCCAAGAAAAGGGATTCCCAAGGCAAGCATGGGGCCCTTTGGAGCCTCAGTGCCACAGCTTCAGAATTTGGCAGAAGGAAAGGCTTGCAAACTGCTCATCCAAAGGGACTAGGGCTCTTGGCTAGCACAAAAAAAATGTATGAAAGGTAGGAGACAATGACACCTGCTCCAGTGTCCAGCCCAGGCCTCTGCTCTCAGCCAGCACTAGCTGCCATTTACCACAGCAGCACCTGTTGCCATCCCTCACTCCCATCTCTAGGCTCCTAGGAGCAATTCCTAATGGTAGTGAAGAACGCCCTGTCCCTGGGCCTGTGACCTCCAGCAGGGGTTCAACCCTCTCCAAATGCCACACAGGCTCTTGGACAGTGCAGAACAAATACATCTACTATGGGGGCATATGGCAACTTGTGTCCAGGCTCAGGCCCTCCTGTTCCTCTCCCTTTAACCTAGGCTACCTCCATTCTCAGTCTCAGCACAAACTGTGGAGAAAGCTGCAGAGCAGCACTGAGCTACTGGAAGCAGGGGAACAGCCCCTGCCACTCCAGTCCCTGTCAGCTCCCTCCTGCACTGAATTTACTTATGCAGTGGTTAAAAGCCCTCCACAGTGCCAGCCACTTTTCAAAAATTAAGCAGCAGCTGAGGCCCTGTCCAGGCCTGATGTATTCCCCCACTGCCCCCACAATGAGTCACCGATCAACCTCTTCCTGCCTGCAGCCTCTAGGACCAGTAGGAAGGAAGGGCAGGACCCCCAAGGAGGAGCACAGGTGCTAAGTGTAACAGAAGCTTGCTGCTTGGGAGGGATAAATCCATGGATCTGGTGCCAAGGCTACAAGCAGCAGGGTTGAGCTGAGTACGGAGCCTGGGGCAAAAGGCAGGGCTTCCAGCAAGGGACATAGCAGCTTTTTTACAGAGGGAATGTGCTCCAGAGCTGCAGCCAGTGTCCTACAGAGCCTGAATCAGAAGCAGGAACCAGAGGCAGGCAACAGCCAGGGGCAGCACTAGCAAAGTCCCAGGCGCTGAATATTAAGCAAACTCTATTACAATTTTGAGGGAGTCCCCTCGTGACCTACGGGAGAAAGCAGCTTGTCCAGGAGGCTTAGGGGGCCAAGCCTGAGACTTTCCACCTGCTGGCCCTTAGCTTCTCAAGGATGTGTGTGACTCAGGACCAGATCTTCAGTCCCAGGATCCTGCCCTCGGCTGGGACTCTGAGCTAGGTGCCATGTGTCTTGCGCCCCCTCTCCCCCCAAAATCAGAATCACAAGCCTGTGTGAACAAAGGCAAGTTTATTGAGGTTGGACAGCCACAGAGAAGCACTCAAAAGCAGGAGTGTCTTCCTGTGTCTGGAGAGAGCAATGGCAGGTGATGTGAATGCACATGCAGCCAGAGAAATGCATAACATGGGACCCCAAGCCCCATCTAGCAGCGGCCACTGGAAATGCAACAGGAAAGCCACAAGGGGCAATGCAAGGCAGTAGCAAAGAGGAAGTGGGGACAGGAGAGGCATTGGGATGCTGTGGACCCACCAGGAGGAGGGCAGGCAGAGACAGGATCAGATGGGGCAGTGGAGAACTAGACCCTGGTAGGGGCTGCCCCATAGGACAAAGCTGGGCTCCCTGAACTGGGGAGTCTCAGTGGTAGACTGGCTCCCCACAGATAGCAGTGGGCAGGTGGAGGGAGAGACCTGCCCACTACCCAGGGGGCAGGAGGCTCTGAGGTCCCACGTTTATTGGCCTCAGTGCCAATGCTCCTTCCCAGAGGCATAAGTACCAAGCTGTGCCCTGGGCAGTGGCAGTGGCATCTGCAGTGGCTGGTCTGCAACAGTGGCAGCTGCCTTATTGTGCTTCCTCTAAGTGGGTGCTTGGGGCTGGTGCCTGGTCATCCACTCCTGGTTACGTTACTGCCCCATTCTCTCCCTAACAGACATGGGCATGGGATACAGGACCCTCCTCAGGCCCCAGCCCAGGCACCAGACCAGAAGATACTACTGAAACACAGAGGGAAGCTGGCAGAGGAGAATAATCAAGGCTGCAAAACCAGACTCAGTGCAGACTCTCCTCCATAGGAACAGCCCCAGGAGCAGGGGACCTCCCCTAGGCACTGCCTGGGATCACAAGTCCCATGGACCAGGGGTCCTAATGCCACCCTGTGCTCCAAGTCTGTGGTGATATCCTCAGTGTACTGCTCCATGGGTGATGAAAGCTAGCCTACCAATGTGCTCCACTGGACAGAGCTGAAAAAGGGGTGGGACTTGAGCTTGGCAACACCACCTCCTCCAGAGCCCAATCGCAGCTTGGGGTCAAATTGCAGCAGCTGGAAAGGAGAGGGAGAGTGTGTTAGGAGCAGGCATAGGCTGAGGTGCAGAAGCCTGGCCTTGGGCCCAGTGCCCCCTGCACCCAGGCACCTTGCTCCCAGGATGGGAGCTGCTGCCCCTTGTCTCCCCCTCAGCTGGTTGAGCATCCTCACCTCAGTGAGCAGTGATGCAGCAGGCAGGCTGAGCCCCTCGGGCAGGTGCAGCTGGGTGTGAGGATGAATCCCTGATAGGTGGCACTGGGACAGTGGCTGTGGGATGCAGACGGAGCCAGTAAGGAGAGTCCTGAGCAAGCACCTGCCACTGCTCCTGTCCCCACTGCAGTGACCCTACAGCCACTCCCCTTCAGTGGGTAACATCCAGGCCGTCAGCCAGCCCCTCCTGAGAGTCAGGGAGGAGTGACACTCTTAAGACAGCCCAGTCCATATCCTGGGGTCCCTCGCTGAGCTGAGGAGTCCTTTTGATAAACTGGCTCCCCATAGACAGCAGCAGCCAGGTGGGAGGAGATCCTGGGTAGGCAGGAGGCCCTGAGGTTCCAGGTTTACCACCCTCAGCACCAAAGCCTCTTCCCAGAGGCACTAGAAGAGGGGGAGCAATGGGACATACACTTGGAGTGCTCTGTGGGGAGCAGAGTACCAAAACTAGGACCGTCTCCCTCACGATCTACAAACCCTCAAGATTGTTTTGCACCAAAAAAATAAATTTCATGAGGTTCAGTAGGACTTTGCACTTGTCCTTATGCACCAGTACAGGCTGGGGACTGACTAGCTAACAGCAGCTCTGCACAAAAGGACTTGGGGTTACAGCGAACAAAAAGCTGAAAATGAGGCAACACTGCGCCTTGGTTGTGAAGAAGGCTAACAGCATATTGGGCTGCATTAGTAGGAGTGTTGCCAACAAATCAGGGGAGGTGATTCTTCCCCTCTATTTTACACTGCTGAAGCCACATCTGGAATACTGTGTTCAGTTTTGAGCCCCCCCACTACAGAAAGGATGCAAACAAATTGGAGAGTCCAGCAGGGGCAAAAAAAATGGTTAGGGAGCTGGGGCACACAACTTATAAGGAGAGACTGAGGGAACTAGGCTTATTTAGTCTGGAAAAGAGAAGATTGAGTGGGGGTTTAATAGCAGCCTTCAACTACCTGAAGTGGGGTGCCAAAGAAGATGGAGCCAGACTGTTCCCAGTGGTGACAGATGACAGAACAAGGAGCAATGGGCTCAAATTGCAGCAAGAGAAGTTTAGGTTAGATATTAGGAAAAACTCTCACAAGGAGGGTAGTAAAGCACTGGAACAGGTTACCCAGAGAGGTTGTGGACTCCATCCTCTGACGTTTTTAAAACCTGACTAGACAAAGCCTTGGCTAGGATGATCTAGTTAGGGATGGTCCTGCTTTGAGCAGGAGGTTGAACTAAATGACCTCCTGAGGTCCTTTCCAACCCAAACTTCTATGATTCCATGACTTTACTGCCCTTCCTTGCCCCTGCCCCAGGACCAGGACGCAAAACCACTCACCATTCCAGTCAGCAGCTCATATAGCAGTGACCCAAAGCTCCACCAGTCGCAGGCCTCAGTCAGCTCAGAAATCCCACCCACTTCTGCAGAGTCAAAAGGCACAAAGGATGAAAGAAGGAGAGAAACAGTGACGCACATCCAAATCACATGGGGGCTGTCTGCTGCCACCCTTGGGAAAGATCCTGGTGGGAATCTCCTCCTGGTGATTCTTTCCCACAGGGCCTGATGATGGAGGGGACAGAGCAGGCAGTGGATGGGTGCCTTACCTGGGGCACTATACAGTTCTTCCAGGGCCTGGCTGCAGCACTGCGGCTCCACCTCCGTCCATTGCCCAAAGAAAGTGAAACGGATGTGACCTGTGAATTAGCACCAGTGTCAGGGGCAAGGCCAGCAACTGCAGCAGGAACCATAGGCCCTCACCCCTCCCTCCTGGACCCTGTCCCTATGAATGGGAGGGGAACAGCTGGACACCAGCACCCCTGCCCCACCCCCATGGCCTGCAAGACAGCTGGGCTCCAAGCCACAACAGTGCGATGGATAGCAGCCAGGTCCCTCAGTGCAGACTTCTGGGAAAGGGGCAGTGGGTGTGACAGACCTGCATTTGATGGAAGGGTGTTGTGGGAGGAGATCCAAGCAACCAGGGTGCTGGCACAGCCCTGCTACTCTCCTGAGGAAAGCCAGGCCCAGATGGGACCTGGAGAGCAATGAGCGGGTGAATAGATCAAGCAGGGGGTGTTGCTGCAGAGGGGTGAACTGCAGAGTGCAGGCCTTCAGCTCTTGCTCAACCCTGGGGACTGCTGGATTAACCAGGCCAGCTGATCTCATCCCCTCCCAGAGGGTCTCTGAGGGATCTCCCAGATGGTCTATTGATGTTCTGTATGGTCAGTATTGCTGCATAACCTTGCTCTGCCCCTGCTGTCCATATCTCTTAGAAGCTCCAAGGTCTAGAGCACAGAGGCAGGGCCTGAGCTGGAGATGCCCAGATCCCGCAGAGTAAAACAAAGGGGAGAGAGACTGGGGAGGCTCAGGTTAGGTCCCCTTGCTGAGGGGCAAACCTCTCCTCCCAGGACACCTACCGGCAGCATCCAGCAGTAGGTTCCTAGGATTGAGGTCCCGGCAGAGTACACCCTGCTGGTGGAGTCCTTCCAGAGCCAGGAGCATTTCTGCTGCCCACAGCTGGACCTGCTCCTCATTCACGGCCCAGGCTCTTTGGCTCTCCCCTTGGCAGGCCCAGCAACCTGCAGGTCTCTGATGTGCTGGTGCTAGCTTCTCCTTGTGTTGGCCTGTTCCGTCCTGGACTCCTGAGGTGCCCCCCACAGGCTCCTGCCACCCAGAGTCAGGCCTGTGGGGCTCACTGAAGCTGGGCCAGGTGGTTCCAGGCACTTGTTTCTGTCCATTGGGAGCTCGTGGGGACCATGTGGGCTGAGCCTGGGGCCCACTAGACATTTGCTGATACAGAGGCTCTTTCTGCACCAGGCTGCCACTTCTCACAGCCTTCAGGTTTTGAGCAGGGATCTGGGGAAGCCTCCCACTAGCCAGCAGCTTTGGATCCTGCCAGGGAGCTTCTCTTTTCAGTGGGCTGCTCACACCCTCACTGCTGGTTAGCAAGTCGTGTGGATGGGAGGCCAACTCCTGACTGTTCAAGGCACAGTGTCCTTTGGCCATCATCATGACAACAGGATTGGGGCCACCATGCAGGGTGCATGTTGCACTTAAATCCTTCGCTGCCATGACAACCCTGGGGCCACTGGCAGGTCCCATATGGAACATGCGGTGGGTCCCTGCTCTTGCATTGGAGGGGTCCAGTGACTGTTCCTGGGCAGGAGCCTGGTCAGTGTTTTCCAGTGGGGCCTGATTCACAGACTTCAGGAGGTCAGTGCCATTCCCAAAGCCAAGGTTAGAGCTCTGGCTGGACCCAGAGCCAGGACCCCAAATGTTTCCTACCACCCCTTCTCCACTGTAGCTTCCCAGAGCTGAGCTGGGCTTTGGATGCGGGGGACCAGAGCCATAGGAGAGACTTCGCCGTAAATGAGACTGAGAGCGGAGATGGGACCATAGTGTCCCACCTGGAGAGTGAAAGGAAGGAAGTGTGAGAGGCAGCAAAGCAGAAATCCAGGTGCCCGTTACAGATGCCTCCAATCCTGAGACTCCAGCCACTAGCTATCCTGCCTGGCCTCCAGCCTGCAGGGCTCAAAGCGTCAGCAGGCCTCAAACCTGAGCTGCTCATACTGCTCCACCCAGAACATGCCCTGACCTCACCATCCCTAAGTACTCCTCTCTCCTCCCTCTGGTCCCTAGGTAGCAGCATTCCTCTGTCTTTATCCCAGGTTCCAGTTCCATCCCTACTGCCTGGCTCCCTTCATCTCACCCAATCTGTCTCCATCCCCCAGCCCAACCACATCTTCACCCCTCCTCAGTCCACACTCATAGCATCCTCATTGCTGTCTGCCACAGGTGGCCTTCCCGTCCATACAGAATGAAGGAGAGGCACTGTCCAAGACTGAAAAGGAGGGATGCTTGACTAAACTGGTCAATTATACTAGGGACTAGGCCAGGATGGTATCCAGTCAAAAGACTTCTGTCAGATCTTCGCTATGAAACAGCTGAGCTGCTACCAAGAATGTGCAACCTCTTATTAAACCAGCAACTGTGCAGGTTCAATTCACTGGTGCTGTAGAAACATGTAGGAGTAATTCAGATTATTCCTTCCAACATGCATCACAGTGTGCTTGTCACCACTGAATTCCATCTGCCATTGTGCTGCCCATTCTCCCTGCTAGGTCCCCTGGGAGTGACCTCATTCTTCTCCTGCACCCATTTACATAAAGTCTTGTTAGCTCTGAATGTTGCCACTTCACTGCTTGCCCCTTTTCCAGACCGTCAGTAAATCCCTGGGTCCATTCAGCTGTTCTGTACATTGGAGGGATCCTTCCACTTTATTTTTCCCAAAAACTGGGTGTTTTACTTTCTGTCACTTAGCCAGTCTCTGACAGAACTCTGCCTGTCTTCCCATGATCTTTCTTAACAAACTGTTGTAAGACTCCGTCAAAGCTTTTTTTTTTTAAATCTGCATAACCTGCCTCACTTAGTTCTCTTTTCCTCCTCATGATGTTGCTGACACATCCCAGGAATTCCAATAGATCTGAGGGACATAACTGTCCCCTACAGGCATCCTGCTAGTTTGTCCCCATTGTGTGTCCAGTGTCCCATGCCACAGTGGGACAATGGACACTAGAAACATCAACGGTCTGCTCAATTCCAAAAATGTCTGTGTTTCCATGAGCCCTTTGACCATTTCCACTCCCTCCCCTGGACGCCATGATCCCAACAACCCTGCTGCTACTACATATTGACTCCCTCATCACACATGTTCCACGGGCCTATCCCTATCCTATTTCCCCAGCCAAATGGATCTCAGCAGCCCCTTTCTCAAGCTGCTGGTGATGCTCAGTGGTTCATGCTGCTGCAGGTTCTCTTGAGTCCTGTGGTCATCACCCTTGTGAAGGGAAAGCTATATTTTATAGTCACTGCAGAAAATAACCCCAGACAAACAGAGAAGCTTAGATTAGCTCAACAGAGGGGAGTTGGTTGGTAGATATAGGGTCAAGGACATGGGGGGGATAAGAGACAGTGCAGGACACTGGCTCTTGCACTCACCCTGCACATGCTCCAGGTGGAGGAAGATAGAATCCTCACTCACGTAGTAGCGCAGTAGTTTGACCATGAAAGGGACACCATGTGGAATGACTGTCTGCCGCTCGCGGGTCTCCACATGGGACTTGGGGAGGCTCTGGAGGAGAACACACAACTGTGGATTTTCCAGCTCAGAAATATCACTGCCTCCCTGGAGACTGGCTCCTCACCAAGGCAGGAGACCAGATTGGAGAGACGGGATGCCCTCCCATTCTGACAAATGCCCTGTTTCTACCTCATGGACTGATGACCACCATCATACAGAACGGAGCTCTCCATCTGCTGAGCTTCATAGTCCTCCATCCAATACCCAGGATACCCCTTGCTACCCATGCCTGGGTTACCACAAAGCTCTGACAACACATATTATTCTTGGTCTGTAACCCCCATCGCTATTCCAGTACTGGCCCCTGCCAAACTTCTGCCCATCTACCTCAAGCTGATTCTGAAATCTTTCTGCTACTCTAGTCCTCTCCACCGTCTCTGCTCTGGCTGATACCACTCACTTTTCCCCTGCTTCTATACCCCCTCTTACTACAGTCCAGGGCTCTTAATGGGCAGTTGCTGACAATCATTCCCAACTGTCCTGTTTAAATGCCCCAGGCTCATGGCATTTGTAATCCATTCCATGTTTCAATCCAAATCCACATGTCCCCTGCCCCCTCAGCTCCAAATTGAGTTCCATGACAAGGATAGTTCTAAGTAAGAGGATGAATTCCCCTTTCGCTGCAGGAGATGTGGGAGTGGAGGATGGGGTGGGTCGTGCCGGAGCATGGGAGAGACTTCAGAGAAAGTTCATTGGTCATGTTTATATAATTCATTTCTGATGAAAAGCCCCAAACAAAGTGCTGAAAAGCATTTCCCATGAATCCTTCAGGTCAGGCTTATCCTGGGTTATCCCCTACCAGAGGATTTCCCTAAAGACAGGGAGAGGGATGAGCAGGAAACACCCACCTTAAGTATAAAAGTCCCACCAGTGGCTGGATCCTGAACTAACTGCACCTGCAAGCAATTCAAGACAATACAGATCAGACCTGTGTCACCCACACCCAGACAGCTCAGACAGACATTTAAAGAGTCATTTGAGTCCTGAAGTTGTCTCTTTTTGCACCAGTTTGGTGTTCTTCTAGCCCCTGTACTTATACTGCGGACCAGTGGTTTCAGATACAGCATCATGAACCAGAGATTACAAAGTGAATCCCAAAGCATGTTCCACTCATCAATCATTATTGACATTCCTCATTCTGGACTCCCTTGCACTCTCCATCCGAGGTCTGGGCCTTGGGAGGCTGAGAGGAATGTCCTCACCCTACTGCAGTAGGATGAAGAGAAGGCAGAAAGGAGCAAAACCCGTCACCCCAAATTCTGGCACTCAGGGTGGGGAAGAGGATGACTTGCTGAGGGTGCAAGGAACTAATTAGCTCCATCTTCCCAAGAGAGGGTATCTGGTATCTAACAGGTATCATCCATCACCCAGGTGCCCTGGATTCAGTTGATGGAAGTGAAATGCCAGGTTGGAATTAGGGCAACCGACTGCCTGGTTTGTAAATATCTTAGGTCTCCTAACAACCACAAGTCACTGAGACACCAGCATGACCTTTCAGCTAACAGCCAGAGCGCCTAGCAACACAGCCTCTGTCACATCTGCACTAGGGCTCAGCACTAGCCCAAAGGAAAGCATGCACTCAGCTGAACCATCACTGTTATTGTGCAGAGCACACTGCCCTCCAGTACTAGTCAGGGACACCCCTCCTCAGTCACCCTCATCTTAGCACAAGGGTTTCTATGATGGGAGGACTATGGGCAAATTGCACCAACCCTCCTTGGTAGGCACAATGTAAGAGACTTGTAGTCTCCAATGGTCCTGGCTGCCAGGAGCTGTGGGGACCTCCTGATCCTGGCTCAGGGACTTCATTACCTTTTCAATCACTCCCACAACCTTACAGCACCTCAGGTTCTCCACTGGTGAGCTGAGTGTCCTGATTGGCCGAAAGCGAAGGCTGCTGTAACCCTGAGAGCCAATAAGAAAGATGAATGAGGAACTGGGAAATGTTTTAGGAGATCAGAAACCCTGAGGAACAAGACTCCTACATCCCAGGAGAAGTAAAGGCAACCCATTATGCACACACAAAATAGCAGGTTGGGGTAAGATGATACCTTACATCCCCATCTACCCAGCTCTTCCTCTCTCTCTCTCCTGCCCCGGCCTAGGCTATCAGACTGTCCTACCCAAAATCCCGCCAAGCTCTCCTTCCCCACTTCCCCCACAGGCTTCTGCTTTCCCTGGTCTCTGTACTTTAGTTTGCATAGAGCTTCCCACTCTTCCTGTTCCACGCCCTCTAGTTTGCTTTATCCCAGGGGTCAGCTACATATAGCCCAGAGGAAGGATATGGCCCATGGAGTCATTGGATTCAGCCTATGGACTGAGCAGGGTGGAGAGGGAGCTTTGCCTGTGTTGCACCACACCAGTGCAGCCAGGCAGGGTAGGCTGCAGGTGGGCAGCAGGGCACTTTGCACACTGGCATGGCCAGGCAGCAGAGAGGCTTTGCCCACACCATGGCCAGGCAGCTGACAGAAGCAGCAGTGGCAGCAGCAGGCTAGGTCAGGAGCACTGACCCACCTGGGGTCTGAGCTAGGCTGGTACAGCCGGCAGCTCCAAAACCCTTGCCAACTGCTGTTCTACCCCATACGCTCCCCACGTCCTTCTCACACTGCCCTGTCCCAGTCCCTTTGCTCTTCACATCCCCCTGACCTTTCTTCTCCTCTCATCCCTCATACAGCCCTGTAGTTTCATTTCCTGCTTGTAGACATTTCCCAGTTGACTCTGCCTTTCATCTGGTTCACAAAAAGAGACGGGGGATCACTATTTTAGCTTAGTGAAGCTTAGCTTCAATTCCTTTGGAAACAATGAAGAATACAGCCTGTACTTATTAGGGCCAGCCATCTTAAGTAAGGGCACCCTGTGGCTTCAGTCATATTGAGAACCACAGGAAACCGCAGCCATTTTCAGTCATGACGAAAATCAAGATAAAATCCAGTTTTAAACTAAAGCACTTAAAATCCAGAGTGCCTTGCTAATGATACAGTCACTCTGAACTAGTTCAGATCCTCACCTCTGGAGCTGGATGAGGTCAAATCTATTTCAGCCACCATCTCTCTCTCTCTCCAAGATGCCAACAATATTCTGTAGCTGGCACTGGATTCAGGCTTAGTTTGGGCTTCTTCAACAGAAGCCTTCGGTTCCAGGCTGAGTGGAGAATCTGCAGGGCTCTGGGAACTCAATACGGAGGTTTCATGGGCAATCTCCTTGGAGAACCTTGTCCTGAGTCAGCTGTGCTGCTAAACTTCTCCCTCACTTTCCTGGCTAGCAACATAAAAATGATCTTTTCTGTCTAGCTTCATGCCTGACAGAGGCACAGCCCAGATCTCCATTCACACAGCTGTCATCCCACAGCAGGGCAGTTTAGACCGGACCTGTTACTTAACTGCAGCTATTCCATGAGTTTATTGCTGCAGGCTGCAGGAGTGAGGAGGAACAGCCACTTCTTTGGAGCGCTCCAGAAATGGCTATCCCAGGGAGCAGTCGTTTAAGGTGCTGAGAAAGCATTTCACTAAACCTTGTCCCAATGCTTGTGTGCAGTACCCAAGGCGACCTACATCTGATGTTTGCTTAGGCTGACTAGTCTCTGATCTCCCCCACCAGCAGGCCTTGTATATCTTCCCTGATCAGAAAGGCAATGATATCATCCTACAGGTGTCTGTATTCTCAGGACTTGAAATCTATCTGCTGCATTTTCTGTCCCATCCCCAGCCTGCCTGCCTCACACTTATGCCAGTCAACCTTGCCTATAGAGTTGCTCTCGAGGACTCCGACAGCACCGCATATGCTGTGTGTGTTGCACCCTGAAGATCCAGCCAAGACATGTGGTGAGCCCTTGGGAAACAATTTCTCTGGCCCCAGCTCCTCACCGTGGCATTGGGGCTCCCATTCCCCAAGGTTCGTTGGAGGTGGCAGTTGAAAATCTCCTCAGCACGTTTGAGGTACTGTGTGATCTTTCTCTTCACAGCCTCACGGCGCTCCTTGTTGGGGTCAACTGTGCAAAAGGGTGGGCCACATGTCAGTCACAGTGCCAGCCTCCCACTGCACCCTACCCCCAGCACTTCTCAGCAGTATGGGAACATAGGACTGGACGGGGCCCTCTAGACCATCGAGTTCCTTCCATGTGTAGTCAGTTGTTAACCAAAAGCATCCTCAAAATCCCCATGGCTCACCCACAACTGCAAGCAACAGTAGCTGGAATGCCAAGAACACCCTAGGACATACCCTTGGGGAAAGCAGGGGAAATGCCCTGCTGCTTCAGCCATAGGAGAATAGCTGGTTAATATATGCTCAGAAGATCCTAGGAAAAGGACTATGCCCCACACTACAAAGGAAGGCAAAAACCCTCACAGCCCATGTACTCTGACCCCAAATTTGGCACCAATATAGATTCATAGAGTTGGAAGGGACCTCAGTGGGCCATCTAGTCTGACCCCCTGCCCCTGGCAGGCAAGAAAAGAGTCACCAACCCTGGGACCATGTGATCCCAGCCAAGTGCCTGTCCAGTCTCCTCTTGAAGACCCCCAAGGATGGGGCAAGCACCCTTGGGAGCCCATTCCAGATTCTGGCAACCCTGACAGTGAAGAACTTTTTCCTAATATCCAGCCTAAACCTTCTCTCCAGTAGCTTATGGCCATTGTTCCTTGTCATTCCAGGGGGTGCCCTGGTGAACAGATCGTCGCCTACTTCTTGTTGCTCTCCCCTTATGAATTGCATCCTGTTGCTCTCTGCCCACTTCTCCAGCCTGTCTAGGTTGGCCTGGATCTGGTTCCTCGTCTCCATGGTGTTAGCTGCACCCCATAATTTTGTGTTGTCTGCAAATTTGGACAGGGTGCTTCCCACCCCTTCATCCCGATCGCTGATGAAAATGTTGAACAGCACCGGACCCAGAACTGAGCCCTGAGGGACTCCACTGCCCACAGGTTGACACCGACCCATCCACTACCACCCTCTGAGTGTGACCCTTAAGCCAATTTGCTACCCGATCTACCATGTAATCATCCAAGGAAAATCCTCTCAGCTTATTTATAAGGATGGTATAGGATACCTTGTCAAAGGCCTTCTTGAAGTCCAGCTAGATAACATCCACCTCAACTCCTGCATCTAAACAATTAGTGGCCTTGTTGTAAAAGGAAACTAGATTAGTCAGGCAGGACCTGCCTGCTAAAAACCCATGTTGGTTACCCATCCGTATCACATTAGCCAGCTGGCTCCCACAGATGTACTCCTTGATAATTTTTTCTAGGATTTTCCCAGGGATAGAGGTAAGGCTGACTGGTCTATGGTTCTATAGATATGATTCTGAGCAGAAAAGTAAGACTCTCCAGCCAGGAACCTCTGGGTTTTCTAAGCACCAGTTAGAGCATTAGCATCTCCCAGTCAAATCTCCCTCCCACCCTCCAGGCTTAACTGTAACCAGCATCTCAATGCCTCAGAGAAAGGACAAAGGAACGCCTGCAGGTCCCCAAACATGATACTCTTCATAGCATCCCACCCTCATGCCACATCCCAATGGCATGGCCCTCGCACTGTAGCCTGACCTGCCACACCCTTAATACACCAACCACTCCCAAGGCTGCCCCCAAACACATCAGCCAGTGGCTACTGCACTTCACCCCATCAGCCACTGCCCTCTTCCTCCCTCATCCCCTTGCCTGACAGAGAATCAATTCCCCATTCCCATCAGCTGACCCACTCTGCTCCCTCCCATGGAAACTAGTCTTGGTATCTTTTCCACCACCCCCTGTTGTGAACACAGCAACCATGTTAATAAAACTTTGCTGCATCGCTGCACCTTGCCCAGTGCTAAGATGTACCTCTGAGTCACCTACATAACCCTCAAATTCCCAGAGCAGCCCACATAGCCACTGTGCACCCCCGCCCCATGTTTAGAGTGCTCCTGAATCTCCCATGCTACCAAGGCCATGTACCCTGTGTTCCCTGCCTCCCACAGGCCCCCAAGTCAGCCATACCCTGCACGCCACTGAGCAGCACGTCCACGCCATTCTTGTAGTGGTTGAAAGCCTCTTCATAGTCCTCACTCACATCCCGCTCCAGGGCCAGGCGGATCTGCTTCGCTGCATCCACCAGGTAATCGCGCTTCCCAACTCCATGCCCATCAAGGCCTCCCGGAGAGACTCGGCTTCGAATCTGCTCCAGGTAAACACGGGCCTGGGAGAATGCCCGGGAGCAGGGCTCTGAGTCCAGGCCCAAAGGGCGCTCACAGATGACTCTGCTCATGGCTTGACCACTCTCAAGTCATCCTTAGTAGTTCAGCCCCCACAGCCCTGCAACAGAAAGAAGAGAGACAAAGGAGAAGGAAAATCAGGCCCTGCAACGCTAGGCTGGGGCATGAGATGGTACAAGGGCTGTGGCAGAGCTGGGGAGGACAGAAGGTGGGGGACTGAGGAGGAGCAGGGAGGGGGCTGCAGATGAGGGTTTGGGCATAGGTGCACCAGCCAAGATGAGTCAGGAGCAAAGCCCTCAGCTTTGACAGACCTGTAGCGGGGCCAGGACTGAAAAACTCATGCAGAGCTGTGGCTAGAGCCCCATGTTCTCCTGGAAGCAGAAGTGAAAATCTGCTCTGGCTTTTCATCACTGCACATGCAGCCACCAACCAAGCAGGAAGTGGAGCAAGAGCTGCAAACTGCAGGGCAGCACAAGAACCAACAGGCTAGGCTCTAGCTGCAGGGCCTCTGCACTCAGGCTCAGGGTCGACCACCTATCCAGCAGAGACCGAGTGAAGGATCGATGCAGAGCTCTGAGATCAGGGCACCAGGGGCTGTCACACAGATTCCATTGTGGCTGCAGGGGCTGAGACGCAGATCAATCCTGCAGACAGACACTCACTCCAGCTGCAGAGGTCATTGAGGAATAAGCGGCCTCCCCGTTTCCCTTTGTCAGGAGCACTCACAGACCTCCAGCATCATTCACAGATACACGGTGTTACAGCATGCATAGCTTGATGCTGACTGGCTTTGCCAGACCCCAGCTGCTTTGAGCAGTGCTGCCAGAAGGGTGATCATTCAGGTGGCACCATCTCCTGCCATGACGAGGGCGCTGCTAGGGAGATGCCAGCACTGAAATGGAAGAAGGGGCCCCGCTACACGGCAGCAAGCCCATCCCTGGCAGCACAAGGGGAAGGAGATGCAGAGGGAAGCCCCACTGCTTCAGGTGAATTGCCCTGGTATCTGATCCCAAGGGGCCAGGAAAGGGGCTCTGCATCCTGCCGTGGCCTGATGCAGCTGTGGGAGCAGCCAGGATGGGAAGAGATGGCAAACCCCGTCCCCAGAAAGGACAGTACCTGTTAGAGTCATGAGCCTGGTCCCTGGAGGTGTAGGGACCACCTTGTCTCCATCATGCTGCTATCCACTTTCCTCTGCCAGCTCCCAGCCTCTCAGGTGCAAGCTGAAGCGTGGAACCCCACAGCTGCTCTGATTGGCTGCAGATGAGATCATCACCCTGCCTTTAGAATAAAACACCAATCGATAGAAAGCTGGAGCACTTGGCTGCATCTTAAAGGGCAGAGCTCAGCGGGAGCCTGAGGGCTGGGTAGCCAGGGGGAATCTTGAGACAAAGTAGATTTGCACGTATAGATTAAATGAGGGGTGGGTGTGTATACATATATACATGTATGAATCAGCAGGGCCCCTGCTGGGCTGCAAGGATCTGGAGTGAAGATGCCTGGGGAAAATAGTGCCCCGGAAAGGAAGACAGAGGTCAGCTGGCACTGCAGGGGCTGGATGGGGTGGACATGGGGTTTCATGCAGCTGGGGACAAGTTTACCAAGATATCAGGAAATGGAGATTGGCAGAGCAAGTGGGTCCAGTCATACAAGTAGGCGGATGAAACTGAGCTAGTCCAAGCCCCTGGCCTGTTGCCCAGCTGCCCTAGTGAGACATGCATGATTTATCAAACAAATGAGGGCCCAAGCGTTGGTGACCCCTGCCCCACCTGGCAGCACAGAAGCAATGATGTGCAGTTCAGCAGCAAGGGAGTCCTGGGAGAGAAGGGAAAGGCAAACAGCCAGGTCAGTGAGCAGGGGTCCACCTGAAGGCCCCCTGGGAGGGTACAGGGTAAGAAGCCAGACACTGGCAGGGAACGGACAAAACTAACAAATGTACTGAACCACTGGAGTAGCTGGAAATTAACCCCTGGGAAACCAGATGGACCTGAGACGCTTCTTTCCCATGTTTGGTGAGGAGCCTTGAGAGACCTGATAGCCCCGAGTGGTATAATCCGGTAGCCCAGAAATGTAACTACACATGGTCCCTGCTTCCAGGGCATAATGGAGGGCAGCCTCCCACCTCTTTCCTTAGCTGGCTGTGGAAAGGGAGGAAAGAGGCCAGAGTACAGGCTGGATGGGAGCTTCTAGCTGCTCCTGCCTTTAGCACCTCCTACAGCCAAGGAGAAGAGGAAAAAGTAGTAGCAGGACAAGGTGAATAGTAATTCTCAGAAGGCACAGGCCAGAACAGCCACTGGCAGGGAGGTAGGGAAAAGAGAGAGAGAGAGAGACCATCATTTGCACAGCTGGCTCCTGGAGTTTACGGCAGCTTTATTCAGAGGGGTGTAGGATTGGATGTTGCTGTGCTACAGCCAGGTGAGAGCCCTAGGGACTGTGCTGCATACAGGGTACTGAGGGGGCCTGGGGCTCCCAAGCCTGTGCTTCCCTTCTCCCACCCCATGGGAGGTAGGACCCAGGCCAGCCCCCATCTTTGCTTACTGTTTTTTCCTCCAGTTTTGTCTTTTTCCACAACAGTGCCAGGGTATGTTGCACTGGAGGCTTGAGCTGGGCTCATGTTTCTGCAACTGTACAGTCCTATTCCCAGCTGGCAGCTCAGGAACAGGAGGCTCTGTGATGAAAGCACAGACACCTGCAGTTGACAGCAGTAGGGAGTGGTCCCAATGCTGCAGCCCATGGAACAGGCACCTCCTCAAGCTCTGACCCAGACTTGGCAGAGCAGAATCTAAGCTTCAGTTACAGGCTCAGCTGAGCTCCATCCCTGTGGTCCCCTCCCTTCACCATGGAGGGGACAAAAACTGTGAGCCTCAGCCCCGCTGCTCCTTCACTGTGCTGTGATCCTGGTTTTGGCTAGAACAAAAGTCCTTTAATCTCAGCTGTTAACAATACAGAGACTCTTGGGAGGGCCCTGCAGCTGGGCTGGTGACTGGCTTCATCTTGTCTCCTTCACCTGGAGTTGTTTCCCTGCAGGTAGCCAAGCAAAAGTCCAGCTTGTCCTCACCAGCAAGACTAGGCAGTGCCACTTCCTCATCTTCACTCACTTGCAGCTTCCTGTCTGCTTGGAGGGTCACAGCTCGGAGGTTACCAGTGGGCCCACAAGGTTTAGTTAGGGATGCAGCTGGCGCACACAAAGGCCAGAGTGGGCTGGGTAATAAATACAGGCACTGTGGTGCTCCCCTCTCCTGCTGAGGTGGCTACCTGCGTGGAACAGTGCATCTGCAATGAGAGAGCACAGACCAGGGTAAGTACAGCAGGTGGGGGGAGAATGAGTTTGAGTAGCCACTGGGAATAAGGACTCCCAAGCTCTACTGGTTTTGGGCTGTGCCCCAAACTCACTGGGTGACCCTCAGGCAAGGCCTTCATCTCCCCACCTGTGGAACAGAGATTGTGAGGCTGAGTTGTTTCCCCAGAGGTGGAAGTGAGTGCTGGGGGG